ATACAGTAAAACTGCACATTTTAGAGTGGCCTTTTATTGTGGCCAGCCTAAGGCACACCTGTGTAATAATCATGCTGTCTAATCAGCATCTTGATACGCCACACCTGTGAGGTGGATGGATTATCTCGGCAAAGGAGAAGTGCTCACTAACACAGATTTAGACAGATTTGTGAACAATATTTGAGAGAAATAGGCCTTTTGTGTACATAGAAAAAGTCTTAGATCTTTGAGTTCAGCTCATGAAAAATGGGGGCAAAAACAAAAGTGTTGCATTTATAATTTTGTTCAGTATACTAATACACAGACCATCAATCTGCTTACACTTATTGCTGCCACGATCTCTAAAAAATATACAATTTAAAATAAAAATGTTAACTTTGCACTACATTTACCACTGTACTGGGGTATGCAAATGAGTTTTTGTGAATTTGTGGCTATTTGACAATAAAATTAGCTACATAAAGATCACCTACCTTTTTCACTAACACTTTCGATCTCCACATCCTCACAGCTGGTGTATTCAGGTGTGGAGCCACCCTCTTCTTCCGAGCTACTGATGGACATCTGCCTTTTGTTGAGGCCTCGTTTGGGTCTATAGCCTCTAGGTGGAGGTGGCCGTAACGACTCAGATTGGTCCGAACTAAGAGAAGAATCTTTACACATTATTTCTGCAGCTCTTTCCCGTTTAGCCCTGTGCAGAAAAGCTGCGGACCCCGGTTCCAGATGCCCCTTTGGGCCCCAGTCATGTTCGTCCCTGAGGTCTGTGGGCCCAGCAGGGCCCCCTTGAGGGCCACTGTGGCCCTGTTTAGCAAGGGGTCCTTGTCCCCCAACACCACCCCCCACGGTCCTGTCCATAGAATAAGCTCGATGGTTTTCTAAATGGGCCTTGTGGTTGTCATTGTTAGCTATTCGTTGCCTGCTCATGCGATTTCCAGCAGCCTCACTCACATCTTGAATCAGTCCAACTTCGTTGATGGCAAGGTCACTGTGATGACGCTCCTGACGCATTTTGGACACTTTGGCATGCATACGCATTTCCTGTTCCTCCTTCTGTGGTTTTACAGGGTAGCGGGCGAGGTTCGGGTCACTGCGGTAACGAGTCTGGTACTCCTCCTCCCGTATTTGACGCTCCCGCTCTTCGTCCTCCTGTCTCCTTCGCCGCTCGGGATGGGTGGGCTCATTCTCTGGGTATTCCTGTGAGTGGCAGTTCTCCAGTCGTCTGCAGTCGCGCTTCTCACCTGGAGCCCGGTCTTCAGAGGCCTGTGATGACAACCGGCCAGGGCCTTGCCTTCTCTCGCCACGTCCAATCACCTTTCCATTCTGCTCATGCAGGGACACAGGTCTCTTCCTATTATTGATTAGGCAGAAGTTGGAAAGAGTGTCAGATATAGCATTTGGAATTTCCAAGTATTACAGCCAATTTGCATTTATAACTGCTGCAATAGCAGTTATTTGTATAATAAATAGCACAACACCTGTTAACCCCTGTGTTTCAAATTGTGGGAATTCAAATCCTAAAAGGATTTAGCTGAATATGCATCTGATAGGAACACAAGCAACAGCCGTCATCTTATAAAGAGATTACAAGGCAGGAGCTGCAGTCCACATACTGCCAGTTGAAAACAGGTCAGGATGAACAGATTTTGTTGAAATGTCCAGCTTAAAATAGAACAAACTGTATGTTGACAGTAGGGGTAACACCACATATTTTGAAAATTCAGTTCTGGGAACCCAATGACTAGTCGACTAATTGGCCTTAATGAAGCGAAGCTCTCTACAATTAGGATTGCTTCACATAACCCTGGAGCTGCTTAGAATTTGACATGCTATCTTAAAAACATGGCAACAAGGTCCAATAGCTAACATTAGTTAATGCATTTGGTATGAACCAGTGTTAATTACGTTGACAAATAATTTTCGTCATAATTTTTTTCACCAACGACAACGAGACAATAACGAACTAAAACTCTTTTTGAATGACAAAAGCTATGACGTAAATCTGTTGACATTTTCGTCAACGAATAAAAACGAGATGAAGATGTTAGGGAGGGACGATTTGGGAAGACATTCATTCAGAACGAATCTGCTGCGTGGTTCGGACTCGGAGGTTAGATGCGTACATATGAACCGGCGGGACATAAGCTAACATACACTTGCTGCACGTCGCATAAAACGTTGCTAACATTAGTTAATGCATTTGGTATGAACCAGTGTTAATTACGTTGACAAATAATTTTCGTCATAATTTTTTTCACCAACGACAACGAGACAATAACGAACTAAAACTCTTTTTGAATGACAAAAGCTATGACGTAAATCTATTGACATTTTCGTCAACGAATAAAAATGAGACGAAAATGTTAGGGAGGGACGATTTCGGAAGAGATTTATTCAGAACGAATCTGCTGTGTGGTTCCAATCTCCGTGGTTCGGAGGTTAGATGCGTAACTTACATATGAACCGGAGGGACATGAGCTAACATACACTTGCTGCATGTCGCATAAAACGTTAAAAAATTTCAATATGTGGAAGTAAGAGAAGAGCAGACATATGGATGAATCTGACGACGCAAGAGAGAACTCAATTCGGTCTGGTTTTCTGAGCACAGAGACTGAAGCATACACACGGAAAGCGCGTCTCACAGCACTCGAGTACTCTTTCGCGTCGCATGAACGGAGAATTACACACAAAATTATTTCGAATTGTCCTTTTTGACGAGTATTCACATAAACACAGTTAATTACGTCTGAAGTAAACGTAAACAGCAGGGAGAACGTGTATCAGTACATTGCATCCGGTTTTAAAGGGACAGCAGCCTAATTTAGTTGCTATTGTCCGAGTCATTGATGTTAATCAAGCAACAAAAGAAAGACAGAAAATCACGCACTGCTCTTGACTGAAAAACTTTAGTAGCCCTAAAGATTAATCTAAATTTAATTATATAAATAAATATGTCTGCTTGAAAGAATGAAGAATATGGTAAAAAAGTTGCTATAAAGAATGCATAATTAGCCTATATAACCATTGGTATTTCATTAGTAGCCCTAAAGATTAATCTAAATTTAATTATATAAATAAATATGTCTGCTTGAAAGAATGAAGAATATGGTAAACAAGTTGCTATAAAGAATGCATAATTAGCCTATATAACCATTGGTATTTCATTAAAAAGAATAGGGGTGGGAATCTTTAGTCACCTCACGATCCGATTCCGATTCTGGGAGTCACGATCCGATTCCAGAATGATTCTTGATCTACATGTACATTTACATATCCTTACATAAGTAATTAAGTAACGTTAACTTTTTAAAATAATTACAAATTGAAAAAAATTATTAAAACAGTTGTATGTTAATAATAATTAATTAATTATTAATAATTAATAATGTAATTTTTACTATGACATCATACATTGGGATATCTTTTAAGCTGCATTCACGCACGGATCTCTTTTGAAATATAAGAAGTAATGTGGTTTGTCCTGTCCGTTTAATCCCTTAAGACATAACTGGCTGTGTTTACATTCATTTTGCGTCATAAAACCATTCTTCTGTTAGTGAGGTTCATATTTTAAATATACAAGTCCACTGCATTCCAAACCACATAAATGATGACTTCGTCGAGCATTTGTAAGGAAAATACCGACGGGCGAGACAGCACACTTCAAGTGTAACATCAAACAAAGCGCACATCTCTAACAGCGCATCTGGTGCAATGAAGTCCGTGAATGTCCTTGTAATTCGCTTCAACCTTTCCAAACTTTATGAAAGATTATTTTACGGAAGGTTCGAGTGGTGTATGTGTGTGAGGAATTGGAAGCAAGCAGAATACGGGTGTTTCTAAAGCAAACTCAGCGTCATCGTGCATCTAGTTAAAAACTAAGCTCAGAATCGATTCTGAAAATCTCAGAATCGATCCAGAATCATTGGAGAGAGAATCGAGATGCATCGATGGATCGATTTTTTTCTCCCACCCCTAAAAAAGAATACCATGTTCTTGTTCTTTATGAGAAGTCGTTTTATTTAATTTTAACATGGAGGCATGTTGTGTGTCACCGCAGTTAAATCGGTGTCTATCATGATAAAACCTTAAAGGGGTCATATGATGCAATTTAAATTGGTCCTTTCTCTTTGAAGTGATACAAGCTCTTGGTGCATAAAGGAGATCTGTAAAGTTGCAAAGACTAAAGGGTCGTCACATGTGGTTGCCTCAAGCCCGCCGGCCACTCCTTCATCGAATCCACCGGCCGCGCCGTTCTCAAGCCCACTGGCCGTTCCTCACTCAAGGCCGCCTGCCTCTGCTCACTCTAGCCCACAGGCCTCAGCTCACTCTAGCCTGCCGTGTGTGACGCTGTGTGTTTCGTTGTGAAAGCGAAACTACTTTGTTTGGCCTTCCAAA